TGCTGTCACGGGCCCTGGCTGTTGCTATGTCCTGAGGGCCAGTTGGGTTGTCGTGGAACGACTTTGTTTCGGTTTTGTCATGGTCTCAGTGCCATAATTTATCAGGCACCGGAGCGAAGAAATGTACAAATTATCTGCTGAATTTGAAAGTTGGGCGAGTTGACAGGTGATAGATAGTTGGCTGTGTTGCTCTAAATTTGGAGCCACTGAGCAACGAATCGTCAGAGGATAAGTGGCAGGATCATTAGCCCAAAATAGACAATAAGCCGCGGTCGACTGCATTCTTCAGTAACGACTAACACAGAGGCAATGTGTATTCTGGAGAAGGATCTGCCCGGAGGCTGGGAGACTATGTTTAACACAATATCATGGAAAAGTGTCCAGTTACTGTTGTCCAAACAAACACTGTTCGCGCTGGTGTTTAGGATGAACATCACCCGGGCGTAATAATTCACCCCATAACACCAACCAAAAGTACCAAATGAGTCCAGTCCAGTGATTGGCCAAACAATATAATGGTCTGACTCCTATACACCAGAGGAAATAGATCCGTAATGGCCCAGGCCTGGTTTGTAAGATGTAAGATAAAAACAATAAACCAGAAGACGCCAGATTGGTTCGAGTTTGAGAGATGGCCCACATTCTGGATATATGAATACCAAATGTGGGTCAACTGACCATCAAGTAAGTAATTTGTGATCTGTGTATGCTGAGGGGAGGGGAGAGAGGGGAGGCGAACTATCATCTCCTCTAAGGCACCAAAAATGAGTAGATACAGACCTGGCTGACAGCAAAAGATATTCATTGTACAATCTTGTTTCACTGATGTACAGAGAGGAGATTTGACGTTAGCTGGACAAAGGACGACTACTTCAGGTAACCCTCTGATAAAACCTCCTGGCTCTGGTGTGTATAATTCACCTTCTCCTGTCAAATCCTGTTTTGTTTCTAAACACCTTCTGCAAATATCTCAAATACAGGCGGAAGTGTACGAGGTGAACTCGGCTGATGTGACTCTAAGAAAACAAATGTGAGTTAAATATAAACATCCATGTAAATGTCAGCACAGCAGAAAATACCTGGATCCTGAAACTACCTGTAATGCGCTGTAACCTCGATGGAGAAAATAACCACAGTGTGGTCAAGCAAAATGCAAACACGGGAGAAAAACAACAAATACCGACATGAAATATTGCCTCTCATTTTTGCAAATGAAATCATTTGCTATTTTGGTTCAGCCTACTGTGAGCACAATGACAAACTCTGAAATATGAATGCAAATAACGTATTTAAAAGCGGCCTAATAGCCATTTCCAAAACAATGCATCATTCTGATCAATCGTACTTATTCGGGTCCACACGCCTCCTTTACCCTCGCCTCTGATTGTATTTCTCAAATGCCAACAGCTGACGAATCACCGCCACAGACACACCAGTCAGTGGGCAACAATGAGGCCAAATGCTAAACACAGGGAATATGAGATGCACGTCTACGACTTCCTTTCCAGGACCAAACCACAAAGCCCTCAAATCTCCTGGGTTCTTTATTTCCTTCTGCCGATATTGTGATGCATTTTCTGACCTTCTGCCCTCAGCGGTGATGGTCTAATTACAAAGAGCTTCCGAACGGAAAGTCAAAGCACGGCAGAACACCACTGCATCCCAGCATGAGATATCACATTACGCTCCGATATTACTGAGGACTGGGAGCGTAGTCAGAGTGGAGCGCTGTCATTAATTTAGTTGGCTTTGACACTATGGCCTGAGACTTACAACTCTAATGAACAATAACACCTACAATATCTGCCATTAAATCTTAAAGATGTGTCTCCTACTAATGATGTCGTTTCCCTGGAATGACCTCCAGCCGGGAGATGATGTGTACACAGACTACTTGTTTGGATAAAACACACAAAAAAGTGTTTTAATGGCTCTGGGAGTCAGCGGGTTGTCTCTGAGTCAAACTTCAAGTGAGTGCACGGACAGAAAAAGTCAGACCAACAGCAGGGACACGACGGGGACTCACCTGTCCTGGTCTGGCATTTTCACAGAGCAGCGTTTCGTAGTCGATGGCGAAGACCGGTGCGTTGTCATTAATATCCGTAACTGTTATTAGAACGATGCCTTTTCCGATTTGGGTTGGATCCTCTGGAAAAAAAAGGAGAAAGAAAAAACTGGTTTGTGACAAAAACTGAAGGATCAACTTCACTGAACCCAAGCGTAAACTTTGAACATTTCTAAAACACTTCCAAGACACCTTTCTGGCAAGTTTTAGTGATTTAGTATTTTACCTTGTGACCCTGAGGAGTTATTATGTCCGCTCCAAGTTTGGTCACTCTCAAAAACTTACAACTTACTACAGGGAACACATAGTACAGTGACTCCAAAAGTCAACCCCAGGAAAACCATCGGTTCTAGGGGATTAAAATGTGTTCGACCAGATTTGGTTTTCAGCTGGTGTTTTGCCTCACTCTCCAAATTGATGTTTGTGATGAAGATTTATTGATCGTTTTAAAATATTGCTGCAAGTCTTGCATCTTTTTTCCTTCTTTGTCTACTCCAAATGCCTCACATTTCCACATGAGAGGAGGAATGGCTGAAGCTGCAGTGAATAAAAGTGATTTGCTTTTCTTTCACCCAAAATGTATCACACTTTTGAGCATCTGCACTTTTGTAAAATATCTTTATATCTTTCCCGTAGGTTTCCTTTATTTGAGAAGGATCTCGGCTCCATGAAGCTAACAAAATATGATGCTAACAAAACAACATTATGTCATTGTCTTCTTCTACCCAAGATCAGCTGTGACTTTTCTAGCAGCAGTAACAAGAACAAGATCAGCTGTGACTTTTCTAGCAGCTGTGCAGGGAACAAGAGCAGAAATTTCCTGTGGTCTAACAGGTAAAACAACAACGCGCGGCCAACTTTGTGTAATTTGATATAATTCTGTAATGTGATTAGTTTTTAGTATTTAAAATGTTATGCACCGCACTGTTGACTTCATTTAAAAAGTGGAAACGCTAACATGACATTTATTTAGCAATTTATGACAGAAATTGCTGAAAATTTTTAGTCAGGTTTTACAGGTTACTGTTGGTAGCGCCTGCAGTCTTAGTTCCAAGTTAGAGTTGCTGCAGTTGGCCAAATTATTGGATATTAATCCTCCTTGTGTTTTTTAATTAATCACAAAAAAGAGGAGGGGACTTTGCTGCTGTGATGAAAAATGCAGCGTGTTTGAAACAGCTGGTGTCCTCTTTGCTGCGGATAAGCCAAACTCATTATAGTAGCTGTTGGGGCGGAGGCTGCTGGTGCCATGAGAGGACATTACACTTTGGTCTGCCTGACACCGAGGCAGCAGTGCCTAAATGATCTGTGTCTGAGTGGGAGATGATGATTCAGCCTGGCATCACGGCTACGCGGGCCAGAAATGACGCTCACGCTCGGGGTACGGAGTGATGTGAGCGTGATAAAAAGGACACACACAGCCTGGGGCTGCAGACTTGTTGTCACTGGCGAGGCAACTGGGCAACTGAGTGTGTGATATGTGATTGACTGAGGCTCCGTCCGTGCACTCACTTTCTGTAAACAATGTCTTAAGGCGGAGAGGCCAGCGGTGGCGGCTGCTGCTGCTGCTGCTGCAGCTGTCGGGGAACTTGAAGATGTTCCCAGATGAAGAGTGTCAGCGGGTGTCAGCGCCTCGCTCATGACGGACTGTTGTGACATTTCAAGAAGCTGTTATTATTGCTATTATTATTATATGGTGCCCTCTCTTTGTTGCCATATCAGACAGGAGCACGCGCACAGACAGGGAATCAATCGACTTGTCTATCTGCAGCGTGTAGTTGTAAATAAAACCAGGTCTTTGAAGCTTACAGTGATAAAAGGTGTCAGTAAAGAAAAATGAATTCACTCTTTCACACTGCGAGGAGACGTGAGAGCCAGAAGGAACAGCCGAGGCGACAAGGCCGGCTGTCTCTTTTAGCATACACCGATGTGACGCATCTGTCGAGATATTTCGCAGATGATTGCTGTCGATTGTGTTGGCGTGACGGTGGCAGGAGAATAGAAGATTTTAGAAACTGAAAAAAAAAAAAACTTCATGTCCTCGGAGATATAAACAGATAAAAAATATAAGGCATGTGGGCCATGCTGTTTCACAACGCATTAACATAAGGTTCACCCGCGGGTTAGATTACCCACCCTGACTCAGCATCTCCTGACAGTTGTTTGAGGAGACACGGAGGTCAAAATGACTGTCCTGTGTTTGTGTGTGTGTGTGATATTCATTCCCAACAGCCCTTCATGACCCTGCACCACAGTAGAGGTCGGTCCAGGATATACAACAAGACTAAAAGCAGGAAAACGATGCAAGGTTTTTTTGTGCTGTCGCTGGGAAAGGCTAAAAACCTAAAGATTTCCAGTCAAGATGTTGAGTGCCTAAAACTGCAAATAAAAAAAATCCCTGAAATATACACTTTTATGCGGTTTTACACTGCTCTTTCTAAAGTAGATTTTTGTCTTTTACAATAGCAGTTATAGTTTGAGGAACTTTAGAGACAGGAAGCGCAGCCCGATCACGGTTGACATCAACTTCCTAACATATACTTACGGCTCTCGATGGCAAAGATGGTGAGGTTATGGATGGAGTTGGCCTCCCGGTCCAGAGGTTTTGCAGTGCTGATGATTCCACTAAGTGCATCCACGTTGAAGAAACGCTCCAGGTCCGTGTTCCTGTCTATGGAGTATCTGGACACAAACAAGATGAAATGTGTTTTTTTTTCAGCAATGATTTCAAACTAAAGCCAGATCATAGATCACTTAAAATTCACAAACGCACCAGTAAGTGGAACGTTACACTAACTACTTAAACAAAAACCCTCATTAAATTTTAATAAAAACTGAGAATCCTGGCCTCGTCCCTCTGCTCACGACACAGATCAAATCCTTTCAGCACACACTAAGTCATATTTCTTTGGAAAATTACAACTTCAATTAGGCTCCATCCAAAGGGTATTATTGCAGTGTAATTCGACTCTTGTGGCTGCATTAGTTCCACAATAATTTTAATTTCGACAGATGTAGCGCAATATATTGCCGGTGCTGATAACAGTCACAGGAGCAAAGCTTAAAAAAAAAAAAAAAAAAAAGCCAATTTACAGCTACAATGGTGGAGTAATTTGATTTTCTGATTAGGATTACTAACAATCCTGACAGACCAAGCATGAACACCACACAATATGCATTCAATTTGTGCAAAATAGTCAGCGATCTACAGAGTGACAGATAACAGATTGGAGACGGGAGCGCTTGTTTAAAGTCACAAATGCCACGGCACACGTGTGGGGCCGCGGCCCTCCAGCAGGAAAGCCCTTC